CGGCTCCGATGTCTCCAGGCAGGGCTCAGAAGGCATCTCAGCCCACATCTGACGTCTCACCTCTTTCTTCCTGGTCTGACCCCCTGCTCCAGGAGCCCAGGTTCTCATCCTGAGTCAGCCGTCACAGCCTGGGTCAAGTAGGACTCAGAACTTGATTTTCTCAGTCCCCTCCAGAAAGGAATTTCCTTCTGATCGTGAGACAGTTCATAAATTATTGCAGAGTACCTACTCTGAAGCAGGCATTGGTGTCACACAGCAGAAATACACCCAGGACCCAGGTATACCCATTTCTGTAGGTGGTTGAAGAACTCAGATTCAGCAGAAGGCTGGCATCAAATGCTAACTCTCAATTACTTTTTTAAAAGCAGAAATATGAGAATAACTGGGATTCATGTCTACATTGTGAACATTCAAAAAAATGAAGATCGTGACATCTGGTACCATCACTTAAAGGTAAAAAAACCGAAAATAAACCCGCCCCCCCCAAAAAAAAAATTAGGGAAAAAAGAAGCCCAGCCTGTCTTCACTTCTAGAGATCCTGACATTTCTTGGTCAAAGTGTTCTTGGGCGGTTTAGTTCTAAGCCAGGAGAGACATCACACACAGAGAGCTCAATGAGCACCTAAGGCTCCCTGGAGCTTGATCTTCGCCCCATTTGCCAGCTCAGTTCACACCAGGGTCCTCATGGTGTTATGGTCTTCATCCCTCTGCTTGGGTGAGCTAAGCCACATGATGACCCAGTTGATAACTTAAATGGTACAAGATTCTCAAATCCTTGGCTTTGGTGACAAGAAGCAAAAAAGACAAAACGTGCAAATATCAGTGGATTCACACAACATGTGCAAAGCCTCCCTGGGGCAAGTGTTGTCTCTGCAGCCCCTCAGTGATCTGGAGTGGAATGTCGAGTAGAATTCTCGGTGAGGACGGGACTTTTTAAACATGTGCTGTGTCGAGCACCCTGGCACCTGGCCACATGATGCTACTGAGCACTTGAAACGTGGTGGGTGGGACTGAAGAACTGAACCCTTTACTTCACACACGTGTAGAGTCACTCTCTGTACTGCATCGCTGGGTAATTAGTTTATCGGCCAGTGCAGATCCAGACTGAGGGGGATTTGTTGTCCTGTTTCTACCCCTGGAACCCCAGCACACTCAGTGCCCACAATTGGGAAATGGTTGACGGGCTTCCCCTATGGCTCAGTGGTAAAGAATCCACCTGCCAATGCAAGAGGCATGAGAGACGTGGGTTTGATCCCCGGATCAAGAAGATTTCCTCGAGAGGGGAACAGCAGCCCACTCCAGGATTCTTGCCTGGAGAATCCCATGCAGAGAGGAGCCTAGCAAACTACACACTGTCCACAGGGTCACAAAGAGTCGGACATGACTGAATCGCCTTCACACACACACATCCAGCCTCATATGGCTAGTGACACCATATTGGCTAGGTCAAACAGAATAGACTTCATCTTTTTATTTTGCCACCTTGCATTGCTTTTATTGTTGTTTCATGGAAAGCATTTTGTTTTAAATACAGCAGTGTGCACATGTCAATCTTAAACTTCCAATCTATCTCTCCCCTCATCCTTCCCCTCTGTAACTCTAAGTTTGTTCTGTAAGTCTGCAAGTCTGTTTCTGTCTTGTAAATAAGTTCATCCTTGTAAACTATTAACGAACAGAGGTTTTATTTTTTATTGGCTTTCTTTTATTTTAAACTACATAATTTAAAGACTCAACTTCCAAATTTTTATGCTTTCCTGGAAGTTTGGAAAAAGTAGGATGATCATGGTAACCTACGCAGTATGTGCAACTGATTATAATAACTTCTCCCTAAAGGTCTGATAGTTAAAATGGAGTACTAGAATAGCCAGGGGATTACTAATAGGTTGTGAGGTTTCTGAAGACAATCGTATAATTCTTGGACTCCACTCTTTACCTCAGAGCTGCCAGGCCGCTTTGCAGGAGGCGCAGGAGTATCCATGGAGAAACCTCTTTAAAAAGAGATCCAGTCTTCTTTTTATAACACTCTGTGTGCTCAAAGGATGGGCCAGGTCAGGGCTCAGCATGGTATTGGTTTACATTGAATTCCTCAGACACTGGGCTCGGCAGAGAGGTGCATTGGGCTCAGGACAGTGGGAGTGAACAATCTCTCAGTGAGGGTCCCGTGGTCCCAGTGGGTGTATATCACGTCTTCTGCTGGAGAGTCCTGAGAGGAAGGAGGTGTGACTGATGGACTGAGATGCGATCTTTGAAGGCTGGGGCATTGGGCATTGGAGGGGCTCGGGCTATGGCAAGGGTTTGGGCTGGGAGGAGTCTCCTCGCTGTTCACTGTTCTGTCTTCCTGGGGCTCTCCTTCGATGATGGCAAGATCTGCGAATGGAAGAGTCAAGGCTCTTGGGTTGGGGGCAATTCTTCAAGATCTCCGTATCTTTGGTGGGGACACCAAAGGCAGGAAAAGGCATCGGTGTTCCGCAGGTAGCTTAGCCTGTCTACTCCACTAAAAAAAAAAAAAAAAAATACCGTATAAAAGCCAAACCACTGACGGACTCTCTCTGGACCCTGTGCAGACACAAGGAGCCCATCCCACATCTTCTCTTATGGACCATCCTTTAATGCGTACCAGCAGATTCCCAAGATCATAAAGGGCGCAAGAACAGATGATTCTGGCTGGAGGGAATAACAGGGCTTGGAACGTTCCTGGTGGCCTGGGGGTAAAGAGTCCTCCTTCCCATGCAGAGAGTGTGGGTTCTGCCCCTGGAGGGAGAACCGAGACCCCACGTGCTGTGAAGCAGCTAAGCCCCTCGTGCTGCAACTGCTGAGCCCGCGAGCTCTGGAGCCTTGAACCGCACCCCAGCACCACAATTAAGATCCCCCATCCTGCTGCCAAGACCTGCTGCAGCCAGAAATAATGAACACATATTTTCATAAAAAGAACAGGGTTCCATGGTTCTCTGGAAGATATTCCCTCAGGGAATACAACAACGGAAATCAGTTCTTAACCTACAGGAAGTGAAAACGCCATTCTCTGCTCTGAGCCCACCTCCCCCTGGGTCAGGTGACACTGTTCTTCCCTCCTTCACACTTCTGATTTTGGGTAGAACACCAATGACAGTTTGGCTCTTCACACTTACATTTTGGGTAACCAGTGACAGAGAAGAACAGGGAGGAAGATGCTTGCATAGATGAAGGCTAGGGAGAGCCTAAAGAGAAGGTGCAGCTGGCTGGGTTGAGGAAGCCGTGCTTCTGCCAACAAGCAAACAGCAAAAGGTTTGGTTTTTGGTTGCATACACCCTGCCCCTACACACAGGATTTATTGTATCCTTGCATCAAAGTGTGTCAGCAGCTCTCAACCTGATCAGTTATGGTCTCCACTTCCCAGGAGGTACCAAAGCATCCAGGAGAGATGCTAGCAGTGGATAAAGTAAAGAGGCTGTGCAGACCAGCAGAGGTCTGAACCAAGGTCCCCCGGGAACCGATGCAGTTTTTCTCTGCTGCCTGAATGACAAGGCATGGTATTTTTGCATGAATGGGGAGTGCTCTAATCCTCAATACATTTCCCCATCCATCCACATATACCTGGAATGGAATCCTCAAGAAGACATGACACTTCTATTTCTGAACTGTGGAAGCTTTAGTTCATAAAACCCTAACAGAGAAATAGCCCATCTTTAATGTGCTCCCTAGAATTCTCTGCTTGGCCCCTGCCATCCTTCCACAAATACTGGTGGAGGGAGGAGAAGCATCTCCCTTAAGCATGGGGTCAAGTCACTCTGTCTCGCTTTGCTCAATTTAAAAGTTCCCAGTCACAGAGAATGAAAAACTCAACACCTCCTCTGGCTCTAACACAGACCATGATCTCAAATGCTGACAAGACAGAGATGTTAAGGAGCCCAAAGTCACAGAGCTGGGAGGTGGTAGAACCAACACTCACACAGGAACCCTCTGTCTTCTCAGAAACTTGCTGAGATAGGAGACCGTCTTGCTTACCTTCTGTGGTGTGTGGATCCATGGTTGATGGGCAAGTATTTGTAGTGGATCCTAGGGGAAAAAAGACAGGAGGGGTGAGCAAGTAACCTTACTCATACCCACTGAATGAGGACTATTCTTTCTGAAAGGTTGACCTCCTGCCTGTCCTTACTCTGTCATCCCCCAGAGCACTGATGGGGAAAGGGGGAGCTCCTGGTCCCTCCCTGTGATTGTGTTGAGTAGACCCTCCATCCTGGAGAAGTGACGGTGGAAGGAGGCAGGAAGGATATGCCTGGTGGTGAAAGACAGTTGTAAGCAAGAGACATTCTTTGTGCTCCGGGATTGAGTATATATCCTCCTTAATTGGGAAATCACCCGTGTCAGAGGTGCTTCTGGGAAAGCACTGAAATCAAGAGGTGGATGCAATCTCTGACCTTCCCAAACCAGCCCAGCTTCTCCTCCTCCTGGGTCTACCCTGATCCTTTTCTTTATCTGCCTTGATAGACAGGGCTCTGATTTGGAGCATCCATACAGGAGGTGGAAGAGGGTTGAGATGCCATCGACCATCTCTCTTTCTCTCTGGTTGCCACTGCCTCCATTTCTGCAGAAGCCCTAAGGTCCCCTGACACCAGCACAGGGCCCTTGAGATAGAGCTCATGAAATAGTAAGATGTCATGGAAAAGCCAAATGGACTTATTGCACAGTGCAATCTCATTTACTATATTGTAAACCACAGGACTCTTCATGGGTTCTCAATGCAAGAATCCTGGAGTGGGTTGCCATATCCTCCTCCAGGGGACCACGTTTTGTCAGGACTCTTCACTATGACCCGTCAGGCTTGGGTGGCGCTGCACGACTGGCTCATAGCTTCACTGAGGTATGAAGGTTCCTTCACCACGACAAGGCTGTGATCCATGAAGGGGAGATAGAGAAGCACAGAGGAGACTGTTGTGCTGCAGTTCACGGGGTCGCAAAGAGCTGGACACAGCTTAGTGACTGAAGAGCAACCAAAAGCTGGGCCAGGAGGAGGGTCCTCACCTGTGACAGACAGGAGCAGGGGGTCGCTGGGGTCTGACCACTTGTAGGGAGAACGAGTGAAGGAGCCGTAGCACCTGTAGGTCCCGCTGTGGGCTGGGGTCCCAGGACCCAGAGGGAACTCAGCCTGGAGTGCTCCGCAGCGGTCCTGGTCTCCAGTGAGCAGGCGCCCAAGGTTCTCACCCTCCACAGATGGAACTGGTCAAAGGCGTGCTCGGACCTGCAGAGGAAGGTCATATTCCCTCGTGACCTCACCACGGGCCCTCCCTGGGATGAGAGAGAGGGTTTCTTGGACAGACCTGGAAGGAAGACCTTGATCTTAGGGCACAAAGTAACTCTAGTCCTAAATAGAAGACTAAAGCCCGAAGTGTGCAACGAGAAGCACTGCAATGAGAAGCCCACCCACCACAAGGAGAAAAAGTCCCACAGCAACGAATACCCAGCACAGGGGAAAATTCAAAGCTAACTTTAATAGTGGAGGGTCACTTAATAATCTTTTTTAAAAAAAGAAATATAGATAAATGAACAACCGAATCACACTTATGTACAACAGGAATTAACAACATCTTAAATCAATTAGAATTCAACAAAAAAAGAAAAATGAAAATTTAAAAATCGACCAGATTGGGCTGCTCTTGAATTATGGACCCTACTAACTACTGCTGGAACCATCAGAAAACGTGGTATTGATCCAGATGCAGACCTTTTGGAGTGGAAATTTGCAGAATCTCACAGGATCTTTGACTACCTCATTCTTGAGGGACTGTTCAGGCCGGCGCTGAGCACCCCCATGGGCTGGAAGGGACTCCTTAGTAGGGAGGGTGGGAGGGACCACTGCCCCCTCTTTGTGCAGAAGGATTCGTTAAACCATGAGGCTGAGCAACTTCAGGGTGTCAACCTCCATCTCGATCACCCAGGGGCCAGACTGCAAGGGCGTCTGTTACCACAGTGCTCCTGACAGAGAAAGGGAGCTCTGACATGAAGGCGGGAAGCCAGCCTCTTAACCAACCAGCGCTGGCTGCCTGAGCCGGGAACTGCCCAGGTCCCTGCTCTGGTGCATCCTTCTCCGTTGCTCGTTCTTTCACGTTCTTGCTGCTTCACTCTGTCACCAGCTGTGTCTGCTCTTTACCGCATGGCAGGTGCTGTGTTCTCTTTCCCTTCCGTGTTCACACCTCCTCTCTCTCTGGTTTGTTCCCTCTCCCGAGTGTGTGAGTGTCTCTGCACGCCTGTCGTTATCTCCCAGTACTGATGCTAGACTGGACACCAGACCTTCTGTGACACAGACAGCAGAGGGGACTGGTCTGGGCACACTCACCTGTCATGACGATGTCCACGGGGTCACTGAGGGCTGACCACTCATAGGGGGAGTGGCTGAGAGAGCCGTAGCATCGGTAGTTGCCTGCACTCCCTGAGGTCATGTGGCCAATGAAGAAGTTAGCTGAGGCATTCCCGCCTGTGAGCGTCTCTCCACGTCTTTGGAAATGCCCTGTGCTGTTTTCCTGGTGCAGGATAAACTTGTCAAACCATAGCGGTGAGTGACAGTGAAGGGTAACATTCCATCCTGCGTTCATGAGGGAGCCGGGGTGGGCTGTTTTGTGAACACACCTAGGAGCAAAGAGGTTGTGAGCTTCAGTGAGTCATCCCGCCTCAGTGCTTCCCCTGAGAGCTGAAGGTGTGAAAAATGTCCCCGTGAACCAGCAGAGCCAATTACCCTTCCTGTCTGTTCTGTTGCATTCTCTCTAGCCTTGTTCTCGGGCTCAGGCTCATGCTTTACTGTTTCTCTTTGCTCAAGAACTCCAGCCTCCTCTGTGTTTTTTTTTTTTTTTTTTGAAGTTTTATTTTTATTTATTTATTTATTTTTTCCATTTATTTTTATTAGTTGGAGGGCAATTACCTTACAACATTGCAGTGCTTTTTGTCATACATTGAAACGAATTAGCCATGGATTTACATGTATTCCCCATCCCGGTCCCCCCTCCCACCTCCCTCTCCGCCCTATCCCTCTGGGTCTTCCCAGTGCACCAGGCCCGAGCACTTGTCTCATGCATCCAACCTGGGCTGGTGATCTGTTTCACCCTAGATATACATGTTTCAATGCTGTTCTCTTGAAACATCCCACCCTAGACTTCTCCCACAGAGTCCACAAGTCTGTTCTATACATCTGAATCTCTTTTTCTTTTTTTGCATATAGGGTTATCGTTACCATCTTTTTAAATTCCATATATATGTGTTAGTATACTGTAATGGTCTTTATCTTTCTGGCTTACTTCGCTCTGTATAATGCTCTTAGCTGCTGGATCTGCTCTCAGCTTCATGTTAGCACACTTAGTCACTTCAGTCCTGTACGACTTTCTGCGACCCCATGGACCATAGCCTGCCAGGCTTCTCTATCCACGGGATTCTCCGGGTGAGAATACTGGAGTGGGTTGCCTTGCTCTCAGCTTCATCCCATCCCTAATATGTGTGGTGGGGAGCTGGGTGGTTCTGGGGATGCATACCCTCTCTCCCTTCACACTCAGATAGAATGTGGGCGATGACTGGCAGGACATTGGGATGGAGGTGGAGAAAAGGGAACATTTCCCATTTGACCCCATCTCATGCCTCTGGAGACTTTCCTGGGACTCCTTCCTGGGGCTCCAGCTCCTTCATCGGGGACTACAGCTCCCTACTGCATGGCAGGTGCTGGATCAGGGTCATTCCCCATCCCCTTTGCTGGCAGGCACTGGCTCCTCCTTCCTGAGCCGGGCACCCCATCTGTTCAACACCCAGAGTTTAAACTCTCAGAGTGGGTTCTCTTTCCTGGTTTGTTTCTGGCTAGGAATCCCGAGTCAGTCTTGAACCACATAAGGAACTTGGACCTAGAGTGGGGTTGCCTGCATAGAAGGCTGTCCCAGGCTTGGCTGGACCCCTCCTACCTGTGACCACAATCTGCAGGGGGTCACTGTGTCTGGACAACAGAGGGAGAAACCTGGAGAATCCAGAGCACGTGTAGGACCCAGCATGTTCTCCGGTCTCTAGGCCAAGGGTGAAGTTGTTGAAATGAATTCCCCGGAGGGCTGACAAACTGGTCCCATCTGTTTTGAACAGTCTGAATCTCTTAAGTGGAGAACGGAAGTGACACCAGAGAGTCACAGTCTGTCCTAAGGGAACCACGGGGCTTGGCCAGGCTGACAAAAGGGCTTGTCATATTCACCTAGGACAGAAGGAGGCACAGGGTTTGAGAGAAAAATAGGAATGGTCCCCTCTCCCCACTGCTTTGTTGGAGCGCTTCCCCTTCAATTCTCCCAAGGCACCTACTCTAAAGTGCATCACCCTGATATTCAAGGACACCTGGGACTTGGGGACAGACAGAGACACAGTCAACCCAGGACAGACATCAAGGAGATTCTGAGAATGCGATTCTCAGCAGTGATTCTTCTCAGGAGAAGAATAAGTCCTTGGATTGACAAAATGTTGAAAACTCTCTCAAAACACAGACACTGGGGATTCCCAGGTGGTCCAGTTGTTAGGACTTAGCACTTTCCCCGCCAAGGGCCTGGGTTGACTCCCTCATCAGAAAACTGAGATCCTGCATGCTGCACGATGCAGGCAAAAGGAAACACCACAGAAAAATGATGGTGGTAAAGAAGTGAAAGGACTTCCCTGTTGTGTTTGCCGCAGCTCAAATGGTAAAGAATCTTCCTCCAATGCAGGAGAGCAGGGTTCAATCACCAGGTAGGGAAGATGCCTTGGATAAGGAAATGGCAACCCACTCCAGTATTATTGCCTGGAGAATCCCATAGACAGAGGAGCCTGGTGAGCTACAGTCCATGGGGTCAGAGAGTCAGAGTTGACAGAGTGACTAACAGTAACACAACTAAGAGAAAAAGCCAGTTGAATGAAAAGAAGGAAGGAAACCATGAACCTCCCTCCTTTGTTAGCTAGCCTCAATCAAATGTGTGACGAGGTCCAGGTGGCCCTGCCTGATGCCCAGCCCCTCCCCTGGGGTCAGGTCTTGAGGGTGGTCCTGTAGATCCTATTGCTAAGGGCCGGTTGGAGATGCCACCTTGTCTGAGAGGGGTCTGTGGGCTGCAGCTCCTTTCTCCCCTCTCATGATAGAAATGGCACTAAGGGAGCCCAGCTCCCAGCTCCCAGACTTCACACTGTGCCTTCAGGTCCAGAGTGCAGAGCTGGGCTAACCTCTGGGGAGAGTGAAGATGAGTATCAAGGCCAAATGGAGGACCTGGGATCCACAGGGCATGCGGCTCTCACTTTACTGACAGAGGTCTCACCCTGCCCCCCAGTGTCATCTGCCTCAGCCCCGCCTGCTCTGCTCAACACAGAAATAAGGGATGGGGAGGACTCACCCACAGCTGCCCAGATCCTCAGACTCACACAGAATCCTAGAAGGAAAAGCCCGTCAGAGATGGCTTGTCCCAATGGACCCCACGCTCCTTGCACCTTTATCCAGGGAACATGGTCAGTGGTGTGGAGACCCCCGATTTCCACCATAAACCTCTCTTACTGGGCCTTTTCGAACTCACCAAGACTCAGGAGGCTGAGGAGTGTGGGGCACATGGCTCTGCTTCTGTGAGGCAGGAGGCAGGACTGAGCAAAGCTGACCGAGCCACAGGATGCGGAAGGCGGGCAGTGTTGTTCATACAGTCAGCCTGGTGCATGTCACAGGGGACGATGGGCAACCTCCTCTCTCGCCAGAGATGGAAGTCTGTCTGAGCCTTGTCACTGAGCAGGCCTCATGACCCAAGCATCAGTTGTTGTTTCTCTGAACACTATAAACATAGGAGGATTTGAACAGGTCTTGCTGCCTTTAGGAAGTAGTCATGGTGATTCTGTATATACCATCAGCATGCTTTTCCCAAGCTCATGATTAATGTCATTAACCTTAACTCTTTGCAGAAGAGAAATCACATGTACCCACCTCATATCTCAGGTTCAGTGCAGGTTGCCAATTAAAGTCTCATTAATACAGACTTTGATTCTGCATTCTTATAAGAGGAACACTCATGCATATTATGGTTCTTTGAAAATATTAAAAAATTCTATATTGTAACATATGTGATTAAGAAACTGTGTTAGTTTCAGCTGTACAACAAAGTGAATCAGTTATACATACACATGCATCTATTGCTTTCAAACTCTTTCCCCACTTAGGTAGCTACAGAATGTTAAGTAGATTTCTCTGTTTTTACAGTAGATCC